TTTGATCGCGTTATGCCAAGTGTACTGAATATGCTTATACCAGTTAGTGCTTTCTACTGGCAAGATAATCGTCTCCCTCACTACACGGCTATCTTGCTAGCTGTTTTAACGGTGCGGTATTTTGATCAGTTAATCAGTTTGAATGAAAATGCATCAAAGATGATGTAGCAAAACTGACGAACCAAGCGCCTGTAGTATCTTTTCGTCCTGAATGACGATAGGCTTTCGGATCTTCTTCGTCGGTAGGCTCTTTGCACTAGTGGTATCGGATTCCGGTCCAGCTTGGCGACTGAAAATGAAAGTGGTTTGAAAACGACTGAAAATGACAGAAAAAAATTTTATCGCTCGCAAACTGCTTTTGGGGAAGCCGAAAATAGTCTTGCCAGCTGGTGGCCAATGCTCACAACTGCCAATCCCAAATGACTCTGAAGACAGAAGTTTCGACAACAGTTTCACCGATGAAAACTCAAATCCACTGGGCGAAAAGAGATGAAAAATCTCACTTTGCGGCGAATTTCTGCCGCAGTGTTTCGAATAGTCGATCATTGGCAAATTTTTCTTCTGATGTTTGCGCCCAGAATGATTCCTTGGTGATTTCTTTCGGCTTTATCTGGAAAAAAATTCCGAGATGGATATGGGTTATTTCTTGCTTCTTACGCGCCAAAAAAAACTAAAATTGACTCTGATGAGACATGCAGCCATTTTCACTAAAAATTTGCCAGGGCTTTGCTATTCTGAGAAACCGAAAACCTTGGAACCCGAAAATGCAAAGAGTCTCTGTTTCTCGAAGAAATCGTCTGCCGAATTATCAAGTAAACCATATCTTTTGAAGGGAAAAAAACTAGTATTCTTCAAAAACAATTTAAAAAATTTTCTTTTTTTGCTCCCAGGCAAGCTGGGCCCGCAAAAGCACTGATTTTTCAGCAAACTGGAATCATACATCGAAGAATTATTTCACTGTTGGACTTTTTTTTGCATTACTGAACTTGAAAACGTTAAGCCGGCGATCACAGCCTTATCATTAGATCAAGCGTGCTAATGCGAAAATAACAAACATAATTACAAAGCATTCAAGGAAGAAGTTGGAGAACATGCCGTTGCTGTGTTCCAGGCAATTTTCTTCATCGGCACATTCACCTCACGTTTTGGCTTCTTTTTCAAATACTCCGGCAGTTCCGGGCTCATTGGTTTACTCAGAAATCCAGGAGGCGGTGGCGGAGCACCAGGTGGACCTTTGGTGCCTGGCAGCGGTGGCGGAGGTGGTGGGCCACCAACTTTTCCTGAAAAATGAGGACGTACGAATTGGAAAGATGCGTTACTGTTTTTCAAAAATTTTCTGAATCATCCAGATTGTACAGAAACTTACCAAACGGTGGTGGCGGTGGCGGCGGAGGTGGAGGCGGAGGAGGCGGAGGGCCAGCTGTTTTGGCTCCAGGAAGAGGAGGAGGTGGCGGTGGTGGTGGTGGCGGAGGAGGAGCTGGA